AAAGTGCATATTGATGCTATGGACAAAGGATGTCACCGAAATCAAATATGATGGTACATCAGAAAAGTACAAATACCAGAAATTGAGATGCCACCAGAACAATAGAAAGGCTTGCTCATCGGCACGGATCCAGATTTAAACCTATTCCCAAAGTCCTACTACTAGTCGTATATACTCTTTCCCCAATTCGACCATTCTGTTTTTATACTCTAGCGGTAACTTCTGTGCTCTCTTCAGTTCTTTCAATTCCATCGTGCTCCTGACTTGCTGTTGAAATTGAACTTTAAGCTTTTTTAATTAAGAATCTTCAGGTTTATTCAAAATCCTTTCAAAGCCTCGACGCCGTCCATTCTCCTCCTTCCAGCAATCCTTCTGAAAATGTCTGAATTCCATTTCGGAATTAATTCAATTATGCACAAATGTCAAGATGAAATTGTGGCTGGATTGAAATTTTCGCTGACACATAATGGGTTAATGGCACGTGGAGTTAACTGCCATACACCTGGGCCCCGGCCCCCTCAGACCCTTGCCCAGACTGCCTTGAAGAGTCGTTGCCCGAAAGTTGATCAAACAAAGGACATAAAGATTTGAAAAACTCGCGCATCATTTCAGTCAACCAAATGGCTATAGTCTGTCCTTTGGATCCACCAGTCCTTTGCCCCTGTCTCTGTCCCTGCCTCTGCTACTGCCTCCCCCCTTTCCTATGCCAGCTTAAGCCGAGTCCTTGGCTCTGGCTAAATGAAATACATAAATGTCATTCATTCATTCATTTATGCAAAACTTGTAATAATGACAATCGTCCTAGCCGGAGCAGAACGGCACTGTGAGAGCGAAAGTTCTGGCTGAAGAACTGAAGATGTGGCACCTCCACTTCCCCTCAGCAGCGGCCCAACCTTTTGCCGAATACAAAAATAAATTACCAGCCAAAAAAGAGAAAAGAAACGGGAAAAGAAGGATTGCTGTGAAGGCATTTTATACTCGAAGCATTAGATACACTTTAGGTTTGAACGGTTTGAAAAAGAAGAGTCGGTGCTTAGCTATAGCCAAATATCTTTATGTTAAAGAACATTACGAGAAAACCGTATCGTTTCAGATACATACTCTATATGGGTACACTATATATGCTCTTCCTCTGAAGAGCATTCTGAAGGGTGTACATTAAAATAGACTGGAAACTGAAAATTAAAATTTTCTGTTGACACCGAAAGATTTTCGTGGCAATGCCGACGATGGCTGTCAAAAATATTGTGTGTACGCGCGCGAAAAATTTTTCTGCCAAGGTGCGATGAATTTTCCTACTGTCCCTCCACCCACCCAACATCTCCGCTGTACCCCCTTCCCTTTACCAAGTACCTTCGCCTGCTACCGTTGCTGTTACTGTTGCTGTTGTAGTGCGGTAATAAAATTCTTAATGTGCCATTAAATCCTTCCACTGGCAACGTCATCAGCGCGTCATGACTTTTGTCGACGCCAAAAAGCGGAGCAGCACCAGTAGAGGGAACAGGACTGGGAGTGGGAGTTTTGGGTTGGAGCTATAGTCCGACTTGAGACTGAAGTTGTCTTGGAATTCCGCCAGGCAGTCGACGGGGAGAATGAGAATGGGGAAAATCTAACGAAAATCTTCGCTACGAAATGGCACGTAAATAAATTGCAAAGATTTGTCGTTCCAACCAAAAATGGAAGATGGGCACACAGACACGCCCACTCCGAGCACCCCCTTTGTTGAGCACCTGCACTGGAGGAAGAAGAGGTAGAGGATGAGGCAGCTTCTGTGCGGTTTGCCTGCTGTCAGGGCCAAAAGAAAGCGGACAACAAATGAGTTAACATTTTTGGGGCGTATAGCAGGGGCACCACTCTGTCATCATGATTATTGTCATTTGGTTGAGGTGATTCAATGCATTTAGATTGCATAATTAAGTTATCCCCTTCACCAACCAACAGCCAACAGCCACATTTTCGATTGAACGCCCTCGAAGTACGGCATTTGAAATGGCGACTGGAATGGTACTGGTACCAGAGAGTCGTACCGTTGTCGTGATCGTCTCGCCTCTGATCATATGAGTCGTCAGTGTTTCATCTTTTTATATTTTTAACACCAGTATATTGCTTTTATTCGGCTGCATATGCGCTTGTGTACATATATATTCGAAAAGTTGTCAAATATGCAATGGATGTGAGTGATGAAATGACGAAGGGAAAACTAAGTGCTCGCTTCTTTGCCACAGTTTCGCTGGAACAGCTCAAGCGATGGGAGAAACTAAGAATTTGCCAGTTCCCAGGCCCTAAAGCTTAGAGGGTCCAAAGAGATCCCAAATACCACCAAATAACCTAGGGCCGCCTTCGGATATCTTGCGGCGGTCTAGAACCTTCCCTTTCAACGGAAGTTGAATCCTCTAAGCCACTCTACTCTACTCTACACTCGAACTTGGGATCTGCCTTAACAGGATTGATATTCAACTGCAGTTCGGGTTCTAGAGAAAAATTATATATTTTATATATTATTATTTATATATGTATATATTATATATTACCGAATACATAAGAAAGTAATAAATGAAAGTTAAAGGAACCAGTCGCCAGAACTTAGCGAGCATACCCTCACTTAGAGTCTACTGAGCCACTGCCACACAGTTGTCAAATCAATCTTTTAGCGAATACAGTAGTTCTTTTCCTCGATCAGTACAGTACACGGTGCTGACGGCCAGATTATCCTGCAGATGCTTGTCTAGGGCCGACTCGGCATCCACCAAGCAAACACTTCGCAGATGGCATCCACGTCCAGTGAGGATATGGGCATCTTGCCCGAATACAAATAGCCGAGGATTACCTTGAGTGCCTCCAACGGCGCATCCACACCCAGCCGAATCTGGCGTTTCTTTTCCGTAGAGCAGAGAACAAAAGTATTCACCCTCACAAGGAACGACACGTCTGAGTATAGTTCGATAATGCAGAGGCGGTCCATGTCAGCCAAGACAGAGCAGTGATATTTCTTAGCCGAACGGATTCCCTGTGCGTTGACCAAAGGGTGTTTTTGATTATGTTTGTAATCAGCTTACTGTACTTACTTTATTTAATTTTTTTTTGCAGTTTCTTGTTTAAAAGCACAATTTTTCTTGTCAAACGCTTGGCTACAGTAAGAAACATGGTTTGAATTTATCGATATATTTAATAGACTACGATAATTTTAATAAATATTTATTTGATTGTATTCTATTTAAACCCACATGACGGATCTCTCTACTCTTGTGTTGCCAAAATGGAGTCACTTAACTATAAGAACCTTAGCAGAACCATCCCAAAAATTAGATCTCCCGATACAGATATGAACACAAAGTTACCATCAGCTAATACAGTAACAGCACGTAAGATTACTTCCTACACCGACTTGACAGTGAATAACGAAGTTCCATCCCTATCGAATAACTCACTAAACACTACTACATGCCCAAATCAGCACTTTAAAATCAATCCAAGAATCATGAAACAAACAAATTACTTACCTATTCTGTGAAATAATTACAGTTGCGTATTAGCTGGTGCTATTCTTTGCTTAAAAGTCGATCGATCTGAAATACTTATTTTCTTTTTCCAGTGTGCTTGCCCTTTCTCCCACCATTTTGTCACTTACTTCTCCTTTTGTTGCGAGGGAATGCATTTCGATTGTCGGTCTCCACTGGCCTCCTCTTCGAGTGTTTAATATTTCTCTCTCTGGTTTTGCCGGTGCCGCACAACAAAAGCTGGCTCTGGATGGCCACTTGTCGATATTTAACATAATTGTGGCATTGTGCAGATTTCACCCACGCACTGGCCTACACCCTTTGCTCGGGCGAAATCAAAAAGAGTTCAAGTGTCAACGTTTAAGTCGTCGGTGGCTCCGAAGTGCCACCTCAGGCAGTTAATGGACGGGGCCTGTGTTGGCTTCCAGTCGGATTCGTTCGGTCTTCAGGGCTCAGCTCAGGGCGGATGTGCAAATGCTGCAAGATGCCGTGCCTATAATTACTCTTTCATACTCGTATATTACTCGTATAAATATACATATGTATGTACCTATGTGGAATGCCTAAGCATTTATGCCAGCTTTGAGACCATGTTTGAAGTATTTCAAATTGTTCTGCAAATGGATAATAATGGCACAGCTCGGAGTAAAAGAACGATCGGTTGGGCATAGACATAGGAGTAGTCCTTTATTTGGGAGTAGACAATTTTGTCGTTAAAGACATTCTGCTGATTTTAAGCCTCAATATCTAGCCAAAGATGAGATAAATTAATGCCAAAAAGTAGGTATAAATTGGGTTACAATTTAAATGTAACTTGAATGATTTAAGTTTATAAATATAACCAGGTAACTAATAGATAATTATTCAAAAAATGTGCCTTCATCGAATCAAAGTCCTTGATCCGCCTATATCCTATTCAAATCGTTCCCGCAATCCTCTTTAAGACGTTCAGTTTTGGAAGCCCCTTTTTCCTTAACGGAGTCTTGGATTGTCCTGATATCTCCGCCACTAGCCTTTTTAGAGATCTTGTAGTCAAGCACCTAATATTCTTCGACGAAATGTCGCTCTGAGCATTTTCCTTCTTCATGCTGTTGTCGTAGACATTTTTTTTATAGGAACCCAGTAGGCACTTGATATTTGACTGACTCTATACATGTCAAAATCTATAGACTTTATTTAGTTTCTTTCGAGCATTCGAACAGTGAACATCAGCAGTACACAAACTAAATTCAAAATTCAATATAATTCCAATGCTCGGCCAATAATTCTTTTTCGAAAAGTCGTAGTGAATGAGAAAAGGTAACTAGAAATAATGTTTATTGTGAATAATATCCGTTCGAAGGCCTTGGACATTTGACTGTCAGATATTATTTTCAACCTTATTCAGAATCATTTTATTTCTAGAGCTCAAACAGTAAATCTCAAAAAAATTAAATCAAAATTCATAAGCTTAAAAATTTTCAATATTTTTTTAAATTTTCCGTTTACCATTACCATTCATCAACATCAGGACGATATCCTCTTCGTTTATATTTCCCGGTCGGTTATTCAATAAAAGGTGGGTGGAAGTGAAATTTGTAATTGAAAATGAATAGTAAGAAGATCTTTTCAGCAGTCAATCTACTCTTCAATCATGAAACGTGTTAGTGCATTGTTTCGTCCTGCTGTGAAATCGTCCATGAGCTCAGTCAGCCTCTTTTCAGAGGATGCCGGTGTCGCCCCGGTGCTCAAAATTCGACGAAGTGTAAGCCACAGCGTCATCCAAAGCGTCAACCACTTTGACAAGGAGACCAATCGTAATATTCTGAAGAATCGCTTGACTGGAAGCGGCTCAGAGCTCTTCCGGGGCAGGAACATTAGTGACGCTAACAAGTCCCGTGACGCTGCCCGCGGAATGCCACACACCGAAATGGCGACTGCAAAAGATGAGCAGAAGACAACGGACTACCGAGAATACGCCCGCTACCGCAACACGATCCGTGAGGAGAACATGTGGCGCGATCCACGCCACCCAGAGACCAACTGGTTGAAGCCCCGCAGCGCTTCGGCCTACAAGCCGGATTTTGCCAACACCGAGAACAATATCATAAAGCAGAGATTTATGCGCAGCCCGGACGAGAAGTCAAAGCATATGCTGAACCACGACCTAACCCAGGCCGTGCAGAAGCTGCGCTTTATCCCTAGCCCGGCTCCAATGTCGGCCACAGCCCAAGTGGTACGCCAGGCCGCCGAGGCCTTCAAGTCCCTTCCCAAGGCCTTTGAGAACAAAACCCCGTCTGAAAAGGAAGAGTAGAGCCACATAAATTTAAAAAAAACTAGGAATAATTAAATATTGAATGCATCTTGAAACAATTGACTTTTTTATCGGAAAATGTTTTCTTTTTTTAGAGAGATTATTTTGATGGAAAACATCAAAAGCGCTGCACTCGCGCTACATCTGGAATATCCGTATCAAATATATAACATTCTTTTCCCTGAATATCTAAGGGCCACAGACTGGACACCACGTATATGTACGGTTGCGAGTACTCGTGTTATCAATAAGAAAGCACGAAGAAAGCAGGAGAGGAGGGTAGAATATGGATGGCAACACCTTCGCTACGGCCATTAATTTTTACTGCTTTTGGGTTTTCAATTTTCCTCCAAGAAGGAGACACGACGAGGACGAGGACGCGGATGCCATTTAGCGCTGCATAGAAAATCAAACGCAAAAGGTCAAAGACAAAGACAAGAAGTGGATCTAGTGGCATGGTAGTGGTGGTGGTGAAGGGGAAAGCACCTTGTGATATATGCCAAGCCCTCTGCCTCTCTCTGTCTGACTGTCGCAGCAACCACGGGTCTTGGGCCTCCCCATCCACTCAACCGCCAAATGGACAGGACCAGTAACCCTTTATCGAGTCAGAGCAGGAGCTGGAGCTGGAGCTAAAGCAGGAGCAGGAGCAGGAGCAGGAGCTGGCAAGTGTTGATTTAGGGTTGCAAACAGAAATTATGATAATGCCTGTGAAAACAACAGAACTCCGAGTGGATGGGACACCAAGAGATATATAGACAGAGGAGACAAGAGGAGGTGAAAACCCCAAAAGCAAAGGAAAATATATTAAATGTTATTGAGAGGAACTAATTTTCATTAAAAGGATTAAAAAGCATTTGGCAAAATAGAAGAAGGAGGCTGGTAGATGATGCTTGAGGATGGTCCAGGGTAGAATGGTGAGTGGTGGTAACCGCGACGTTGTCGCTGGTTATGAATTAACATAAAAATCATAAAAATATGACACTATGAGGCCAACGCCAACACCAGCGTGTGCCATGGGCATGGGCATGGGCATCTACAGCATAATTTCTTCTAGGGGCGTAGTCTTGAAAGGAGAAGCTCTTGGGGAACTCATAAACCGAAATAAAGCCAGACATGCTGAAAAGTACTTTGATGATGATTATAAAGTTGTAAATTAGATTTGAAAATCATTTAATGGATTTAAAAAATACATACATTTCTAAGCAAAAATCAATGCGAGCTTCATATCATACATTGGTAAAGTTGGAAGGAATAACCCCTTTTCATCTGAGCCCATGGTCACCAACATCGTAATCATCATCATCATCATCAAGAACGTGTGATGCTCATTAAGCGAGGGGCTGCGAAAGGGGTGGCTGATGGGTGGCGGATGGTTAAGTGGGAGGACATTGATGGCAATGCGCGACAATCAACACGAGGCGCGCTGATAGCGCACAGCGGGCCGGAGTGGCCGATGTCTGACTGTGGGTGGAGTTACTCCGGAGTTACTTGGATTTCGGGTTCGCTTCTCTTCTGTTCTGTTCTGTTCTGTTCCGTTGGGTGGGAGGATTAGTAATGGTCGTGGTTGGGGTTAAAGGTGGGCCAGCTCATGCTTGCCATCGTTTTGATGATACCAAATGCTGATGACGATACCGAACCACCTCAGCATCAGCATTAGCATCAACCCAATCCCCTGGCCTGAGCTCTGTTCTATTCTGTGGAACGTTGTTTGCTTTTTTGTGGGCGTCGCTGCTGCCACTTAGTAACTCACCCGCAGTTTATTATTTTCAAAATATTTAAATTTTTTGGTAATAAGCGAAAAATGGTTTTAATATAACCGAATGGGCGGACGTACTGGCGCGGACGTGCCTGATGACGATGATGCCAAAGATGATGCTGACGATGTGGCTCTTCCCATCGCCGTTTCTGCTCTTTCGTAGGTAATCCACCAGGTTGGGCAGGGGGTGAAGGCATTAGGGGGATGTTTGGATCTCCTGGCAGGTGCAGATTATCCCAGAGAATATTTAGTCACCTATAGAAAACCTTCTTTTAGTAGGAGAATATGGGTAGAGAAAGAGTCGAGGGCGATCTGTAGAGATTATTAATTGATAAATATGTATAAAATTAGAGACTTTTTGGACTGGTTCTAGCGTGGGAATTCTTCGATAAAAATCGAAATTGTTCGATTGATTCCAATAACTAACTTGCTTTACAGCTGGGATTTTTCGACAAATCTTATTATATATTAATATTTCATAAACAACTTTGAGTGGTCCCCCCATTACTATAAAATAGCCATTACAATTAGATCAAGTTCCTTAAGATACAAATGCTGCAAGTAGATTAAAAATTCCATATAATATTTCCAACATTTTCCACAGAACTGTCTTTAAACTTCTCTCTATGAAATATACTCCCTAGAGCAAGCATACTCTTTGAATTAGCTATGCGAATGATGCAGCCATAAAGAAGTTCATTAGATGCCAAACAACAGACAGCGTCGAGTCGTTGGAGTCGAGTCGAGTCGAGTAGAGCTCCATGGAGCTCCAAGGCTGGTTCAATAGACAAAGGCATCTACAGGAATATTTTGTTCATGCATTATAATCATTATCATTATTAGCATTATTGTCAGGCAGGACAGAGTCGCCCAGAGTCGACTGCATAGGGAAGAGTTAAGAGAAGACAGCTCTCCTCTGAATTATGCAATACAGTCCAAAGGGAATGCAAGGGAACGTTGGGGTTTGGTTAGGTGAAGAATGGAATGGAATGGTGACCCAACTCGTTCATTTCGTTTTCGTTGTCAAATGCAAAAATCGCGAGCCGAAAGGCAGTTTCCTTTTCCTTTTCCCATCACTCCTCTTCCTCCTCTCTCTCTCTCTGGAGGAGGGAAATTTTCCAAAAATTCTATTATTATTAATAGAGGCAAGAGAGGAGAGAGCTGAAGTTGAAGCTGCCACTGGATCTGTAGCGAGGCGGCCATGACGACTGCGACTACGACTACGACGACGACTGTGCCTTGGTATGCGTTTGTCTTTTGCGCCCGAGAGTCGACTACAATAACCCCGAAAAATGCACACAGTTTGCATTATAATGCGAAATTTTCGATTGCTCATTTGTGGCATTTACTTTTTACTATAAAAGTTTTATAGCCAGTCGGCTGGCTGGAGGATGCCGCGACCAGGACGAGCAACGACAACGGGAAGGGGAACGGCAATGTCGACGACAGCTACAAAATTTTACACAATGTCATCAACGTTGGCTGACAATGTTGGAGGAGGTTCGTTGGACTGCCACAGCCACAGCCTCTGCCACTGCGACAATTGTGTGCAATTTTTGGGCACTAAACTTAAAGGATTACTCTTGGCTAATTTCGCAATGTTTTGGCCAAGGTAAAGGGACTTGGCCAGCGAATAAGGCGGGCTCTCAAGAGCCTTGTCCATCGTCTAAGGTCCTGTTGTTTAGGCTGCTCGACAGCATCTTTGATGTTACTCCCGCGCCTTCGGACAGACAGCCCCGAAGGCAATGCTTTGTCTCGATGGTTCAGGGAATGGTTCAGGCTGGGACACTGCAGGTGGCTAGTTTTTGGGGTTGGACTTGAAAGGATTTTGAGAAACTTTCGTCTATTCGGTTGCTTATTCTGTTGTGCAGCTGAAATCGTTGGCATTCCCATAGAATTGTCTGAGGAATGCATTAAATGGGATACTTGGTAGTTTTCCATTAGCCATCTTATAGAGTTATTATTTATATTTACCTGTTTCGATATATCAAATCACACAAGAGACTATTTTTCTTCGATTTTTCAACATTTTAGCAGTTTTAAGTTTAATATTACAAGGCGGTAAACTGAAGCTACAAAATGTTTGGATCCGATTTATAGATACATTTATCAGATTTTCACAATTGAAAATTGCGTGTTATCAAGGTCGAAGAATTTGGAGGGGGATATTGTTTGGTTCAATTATCTGTCCATGTTTCTAGGTTAGAGGTCGTCTTAGTCTGACATTAATGCTGATAAAGAATATATATATTTAATGGGGTCGGAAACGCTTCCTTCTTGACGTCATACACATCCACTTTGACCACAAATCTAATATACCGCTATACTCATTTTGAGTATAGGGCATAAAAACTCCTCCCTATATGATTTTCAGTATAAAAGGCGTTTCTTTAATATATTTGTGAAATTGCATAAGAATGCACTATCTTTCCTAGCAACCCTAGCGGCAGAAATGGAATTACAAAATAATGGCGCTGCTGGCCTCAGATGTGTGGTCCAAATACGTTCTAAAAAAAGATTAAGTATCGTTTCCGTTAAAACCCACATTAAAAGCACCAACGGCATCGAAAAAGGGAATTCCGTGACGACACGATGCCAAAACGATATTTTTCGATATTTAATTACCAGGCGAACAGAAAAACCAGAAAGCGACTTCCTCAGTTAACAGCAGAACCCGCGTTAACAGCATACTGTTGCGCCTAACAGGCCACTGGAAGCAGGCTGGCCACAGGCTGTTGACATAACAGATGATGTTAGAGGTGCCCGCCGATACTTGCAGAGGCGTATGTTAAGTTTCTGATTTTCGTTTACTTTCCGGTTGAAATTATACTTTCTCTGGATTTTTTGATGCTTTGGTGATTGATTTTGGATTTAATTTTAACGTACCTATTGGCTCTCGCTATGATGCACCTATCAATCTTGGCAGCGTAAAGCTTAACGGACGTTTGCACATCTTCGAAAGTTGGACCATTGGTCATTTTTGGTCGAGGTTATGCTAGTTTGCCGATGTTCCTTCTTCTCCTATGAAATCTTCTTTCGGTGAGCCCGAGGCTGTGTAACCATCGCATTTCAATGGATTTATCTTACTTTTATAGCGAAGGAAAAGCTGTATTTTAAGTGAAAAGATCTGTGGAAGCTTTACTGTGATTGGCTGATTGTTGATTGACTTTTAACAAAATATTCGTTAAATGTGTTATGACCTCTATTGAATGATAAGTTTGGAAAAAAGTGCCTACCAAGTGCTCTAGTAATTCCTTTGGAACATTATAATGGGAATTGGGAGGGTATTATGGTTCCTGA